AGACTAATTTTTGAAGCGAATGGTCCCTGAGATTGTACCTCCTGCCTGTGATTTTCTCATCTCTATCTAATGAAAACACTCCAAGTTTGATGACCTGACTCCCGTAGTTCTAGAAGCAGAAATGTATCCCACAATCTAGTTTAGCACTAGCTTTCCTACTTCCAGTCATTAAAGCAAAGTCTGCATTTAAAAAGCAATGTGCCTCAGTCACCTCTTTCATGCAGCCAGTATTAGAGCTTATAGGAAAGGGAGGCAACAGAAAAATTCTCATCTTTGAAGTCGGGTGTTGGGGGACACACTTGGGAGCTGGTGGCAGAAGGATCTGGAGCTGATGATCAGCCTTAGCCAGTGTAGTAAGTTCAGGGCTGTATGAGACTATCTCTCACTCAAAAATTAAAGTCTTTTCTTCTTTCAACATGTGTCTCTACATGATTAAATTAAAGAAACTGTAAGTTTCAGTTCCCAGATAACAGCACAAGATAGCCAAACTCCATATCTTCATAATCCCTGTTTTTATTTCCTGTATAAATTGATAAACTCCCTATATTTAAGGACTTTGACAATAATTCTGTCTATATTTAATCTACAGATACTCTCCAAATTGTGTCTTCTTTCAACACAGCCATCATTGTAGCCAAATCTCTTGAGATAGTTTTGCTTCAGTAGTAAGGGTGAAGAGAGACTTTGTTAGAAGAGATGCTATTTAGATGGGCAGTTGAGTGTCAGTGGCAACTGATACAAAGCCTAGGTTTGGGCTTTGAAGAGGCCCGCACTGGCTTGTGCTGGTTTCCAGCTCCCTGTTGGCTGCTGGGGAGAAACAGGCTACCACACAGCCAATACAGGTGACGCGGACTCATACCAAATCCTCATATTCAGAAGTAAATTGCTCTAACTTCATCTCCTCCCTGAACCTACCTAGATCGTGAAAGTTTTCTAATTCATTTTTATTGTTTTCATTTCATGTGTCTCTTAGATGAGATACAAATTGTAATTTGAGAAGCAAGTAGAGTCTTAGTCTGGCTCTCTATAGAAGTGCAAAGCCAGCTCATGTGATATCTAGCGGCTTAGCTTGTCTTCCAATTGGAACAGTTCAACATGGATTGAAACCAGGTTTTCCTGTGGAAAACTTCAGCTTGCCTGGGGGGATAGACGTGGAGTGCTCTCCTGCAGCTCTCGGTGTTTATTTTTATATGTCCATAAAATGAGGGTGTCTCCACTTGGAATCTGTGTAATGTCCACTGCCAAACACTCATGTAGTGTATAATTGCCGTCACATTTCTGTATAATAAAGACAAAATAGTTGTGCCCCTGGTCTCTCTGTACATGGTTTATAACTTCATTAGTTATGGTATGTATTGACAGGGCATAGCAGTGCTGCCCTGGGCTCCAGCTAACATCCCAGTAGGGGCTCCATCTCAGTCAGAGTAAGTTACCCAGTAATACCATGGTACCACTGAAGAGAATGAGAATGACTTCTCTGAATATGCCACAAATGACTTGAGTTTATCTAAGAGATGAACCTAACAACGCATTTGATAATGTACCAACTCTAACCATTAGCTTATAAAAATGTAACTGTAGTTATGATTGGCTTATTATTCCTCCCTCCCTTAGAACAGCACAAGAAACAGGAAAAAATATCTTTATTTGGACTGGCTGTACTTTGCTATGTAAAATGAAGCATGTCATGAGCTTTGGCAGCAGGTGCCTTTATCTGCCGGCCATTTCTCTGGTCCCGATTCCTTATTTTTAACTTACTGCTTCTGTAGATAGTCCACTGGAGAAACAGCTTTCTCATTCTCTGTATTCAAACCATTGCTAAACTAGTAAATCACACACACACACATGCACAATTGTGGCCATTGATTCCCAGACCCTCTTTATTATTTTAAAATCTTTTCACTGGGCAGTACTGGTGCACGCCTTTGATCCCAGCACTTGGGAGGCAGAGGCAGGTGGATCTCTGTGATTTCGAGGCCACTCTGGTCTACATAGTGAGTTCCAGAACAGGCTTCAAAGCTACACAGATAAAGTTTTCTCAAAAAACCAGAAGAAAAAAAAAAGATTTATTTTGGCTAGTGGTAGTGGCACAAACCTATAATCCCAGAAGACTGATCTCTGTGGGTTTGAGACCAGCCTGTTCTACAAAGTGAGTTCCAGAACAGCCAGGGCTACACAGAGAAACCCTGTTTTTAAAAAGCTCTTAGCTACCACATTTCTAGGTTAGTCCTGATTATCTCTTTCCTAATGACGGCAGTAGACTCGGGCTAGACTGCCCATCTCTAGTGCCTTTCTGCCTAAATTTCTGAACATTTGTATTCACCACCACCAAACTAACCTCCTAAAGGTCAGTTCTACTTTTTTTTTTTTAAAGAATTTTTATGATGTATGGACAATGGTGCAAAGGTGTCAGATTGCCCTGGAACTGGATTTACAGTCACTTATGAGCTGTCATGTGGGTGCTGGGAATTGAACCCCCATCCTCTGTTAGAGCAGTCAATGCTCCTAACTGCCCAGCCATCTCTCCAGTCTCCAGTTCTGCTTCCCATTTAAGAAAACCTTTCACTGATTTGTCCTGGTATTTCTAAATGACCTTTGTCAGGAACACTTCTTTTAAGCTTACACTGCCTATGGGTCCTTTTAAAAAGTCCTATACAGCATCATAAACATTTCTATTATGCTTACCAGACTTTGCCTCATATAATAATCATCTGTGTGTTGTAGTATTTCTCAGATTGTCCCATGAGAAGTAAACCTAATGCTATGAGAAATGAACAGGTAGCTCCCAAGCCTATCTCACAAGAAGCTCCCCCCCCCAAAAAAAAATTATTGTGACAAACCTTTAATCTCAGCACTCAGAAGTCAGATGCAGGTTCAAAGTCAGCCTCTGTCTACAGAGTGAGTTACAGGCCAGCCAGAGCTACGCAGTGAGACCCAGCTTCAGAAAAAGAAAAAGTGGGGCTGGGTGGTGGTGGCACACATCTTTAATCCCAGCACTCGGGAGGCAGAAGCAGGTGGATCTCTGGAGTTTGAGGCCAGCTTGGTTTTCAGAGTTCCAGTACAGCCAAAGCTGAACAGAGAAACCCCTATCTGGGGGAAATGGGGAGGAACGAGAGTGGGGATGAATCTGGCAGTGTTCTTAGATAGACTGTTTCTGTTTTGGGAAATTTACACCACAAGAGAGCAGAAGGGTGTTACTATCAAGACAGGGTATGTTGCCATTATTCCTTGTTGGTTTTTTGTTTGTTTGTTTGTTTTTCTTCTTCTGTTTTGGGGCAGGGTCTGGCTTTGAATTTAGACACAGTTCAAAACTTCCTGTCTATGTCTCTCAAGTACAAGAATCACAGGTGTGGCCTAATGCCGAGCTCTTAGTGTAAACTTTGCAGTTCCGATGAAACGTATCCTGGCAGTTGGGAGCCAAGGAAGACCACGAAGTCACCAGGGAGAGGTTTCCCCCACGTTTCCAAAGCTCTGCTCTACTCCTTTTGGGCGTCTCGGCTTCACTACACTCCTACAAAAGAAGGTCACCGCCCAAACCTCATTAAAGAGATTCGTCGGGAAGGAAGAACCCAGGAGGGTGGCTGCCTCTTGGATGGAGTGACAGCAAACTGAACAGGATACAGAGTTTATATAGAATTCCTTGCGGCGCAGTGGAGCTTTCCAGGGTGGTTTGGGATTACTGTTGCGCTTAGGGATTGGTGGTAGTCGATGCTCAGGGTTTGTGGGACCTCAATCCCTGTTCCCAAGTCGGGGTCAGGGTGTTTTTCCTTGGCCCTTTCCACCCTACAGTTGGCCCAATTATTCAAAATATAAATATGCAATACTTTCTGACTAACACTCTTAGAAGACTTAATCTTGAAAATTAAAATGCTTTGAAGGACAGAGGCTGACTTATATGTGTATGTATTCCAATAAAAGTAATACAGTACTTTCTGACAGATGCTGAAGAGTTATTCCATATTTTTGGTTGTATTTGATTTTTAAAACAAGGTCACACTGTGTAGTCTCAAACTCCAGAGATCCTCCTGCTTCAGTGTCCTTTGTGCGGGTATTTACAGGCAAGAACCACCATACAGGTTAAGAACTATTGTTGAACTATGATTCTGTTAGTATGTGTTTAATATGTGCCAAATGTTTATCATGTACCTAGGGCTGCACTCCTAATTTCAAGAATTTATGTCTCCGTAGAATGACTTTTTTTTTTTTTGTTTTGGAGACAGGGTTTCTCTTTGTAACAGTATCCTGGAACTAACTCGCTTTGTAGACCAGGTTGGTCTCGAGCTCACATGCCTTTGGCCTCCCAAGTGCTGGGATTAAAGGCGTGCGCCACAGAATGACTCTTTTTTTTTTTTTTTTTTTTTTTTTTTGGCTTTTCGAGACAGGGTTTCTCTGTAGCTTTAGAGGTTGTCCTGGAACTAGCTCTTGTAGACCAGGCTGGCCTCGAACTCACAGAGATTCACCTACCTCTGCCTCCCGAGTGCTGGGATTAAAGGCGTGCGCCCGGCTCACAGAATGACTCTTAACAATTATAGGTGGAAGAAAAGCCATACAAGGCAGTCTTATACAAGCTAGCAGTCAGTCTCAGAAAACTGCTTAATAAAAACTGTCCTCCAATTTTTATTTCTGGACGTCGGAAACTTCCTTCGTAACATCCCTCAAAGCTTAATCCTTTGCACCAGTCCATGGTGGCCCTCCGGTTTGACGTTCGGAAGCCTGCCCCGGACCTGGCGAAGAAACTGAAGAAAGCGCCTGCCCACCCAAGAAGCAAAAATACCAAAGCTAGACGTCCTGCCCCTAGGCTCCCTGAAGGCTTCTAATTGGCTCTTGTGGCTTGCTCTCTTTCCCAATTGGTGTTCTAGCTTGCCTGTCGGCTCTGATTTTCTCCCCGCCTTCAACCAACGCTTATTGGCGTGTCGTTACGTCATTGCCCCATCAAGCCCACTCTCATTGGCTCTTCTAGGAGGGGGTGGGCTGAACGTCACGGGCTCGAGCCGCCATTTTGACCGAGCAACCATAGTTACAGGAGCCGAAGCAGCAGCTCAGGTTGTCCCCGTTTCCCCTCCCCCCTCCCTTTTCCGGCTGACTTTCCGGGCCCTGCATTTCACAGTCCCGGTCCTGCCATGTCCCAGAAACAAGAAGAGAACCCTGCGGAGGAGACCGGCGAGGAGAAGCAGGTGAGAATAAGGGGAACGGGGGTGGCCGCGCGGGCGGAATCCGCCCCCGCCGCCGCTGATTGGCCGCCTCTGCCTCAGGCTCCGCAGGGGTTGGCCACTGTTTCTGTCGCACAGGCTGCTTTTCGGCGCGGCCTTGGTGCCCCGATGTCGATTAGTCAAGTCGATTGTCATTTTGTGCGATCCGCTTTCTTATTGGCCAGTAAGCCTTCCTTTCAGCCTGGAGAAGCTGTTCTATAATAGGCCGAGCTGTGGCGTGGGCGGGTGTTTGGAAAGATGAGGCGAATGAAAGGGGGCTGGCTGGTGGTCCTGGGGCATAAATGAGCTGCGTGATTAGTAGAGATAAATAAGTGACCCAACCATCAGAGTGGAACTCAGTCTTCATCCACAGAAAGATATAGGTCAAGATGAAGACGTTTAAAATAAGCCAGAATTGGGGGAGGGGAGAAGAATAATGATACCTTGGCTAAGTTCAGGTGACAACTTCCTGAGGCCTGTTTTGATAGGGATTGTTTGTTGACCGTCAGTGACGTGCAGATCCCCTTGAGTTCCTCCGCAGTGGGATATCGTCCACCCACCATCGCATGATGAAAACACTAATGCCAAATAAACCCCTTCTTGGGCTCTATATTTGAGTTCTTAACATTTAACTAAAAGATTCATTAAATACACTTCGTGTTATATCAGTACCTGATTGTCAAGAGAAAAATCCACTAGCTGGACGGTGGTGGTGCATGCATTTAGCTCGGGAGGCAGAGGCAGGCAGGCAGATCTCTGAGCTCGAGGCCAGCCTGGTCTATAGAGCGAGTTCCAGGATACACAGAGAAACCCTGTCTGGAAAAACAAGAACAAGCTGGGTGGCACAAGCCTTTAATCCCAGCACTTGGGAGTCGGAGGCAGGCGGATCTCTGTGAGTTCAAGGCCAGCCTGGGCTACAAGAGCTAGTTCCAGGATAGGCTCCAAAGCTACAGAGAAACATTGTCTCAAAAAAAAAAAAAAAGAAAGAAAAAGAAAAAAAAAGAAAAAGAAAAAGAAAAGGAAAGAAAAAAAGGAAAACAAACAACCCAAACAAACTATCGAAGTGCAGCAGGGAAACTGGAACTATAAGTAAGTGGTAACTGTTGTTAGCATGGCCAGGCTTCTTGACCCAGTACCAAAAGAGAAAAAAGAAAGCAGCCATGTGTGGCACACCCAAAGGCCGATTCCAGCCCTCAAGAAGCTGTGGCAGAAGATTTCGGCAAGTTCCAGGTGGCTTGGGCATCAGAGTGAGACTCTGCCCCCCCCCCCAAAGTAATAAACAAATAGACGTGTCCACAAGAAGCAAGAGACGGTGGCACACATTTTAAATCCAGCACTAGGGACCAGAGACAGGAAAATCTGTGAGTTAAGGTCAGCCTGGTCTACATAGAGAGTTCCAGGCTAACCAGGAGTACATAGGAAGACTATGTTTTTAAACTGTCCTGTTTTTAAAATGAAGAGGAAGAAGAGATAGAGGTGAGAACCTCTGTAAACGCCTTGAGCTTTGATGTTTCTTTTCCCTAGACTTCCATCACCTACCCCAGTAGGGTAGGCGTTAATCTTTTTATTTATTTCTTTTTATAAGACTGATATATGAATACCATAGTGAAATTAGTTTCTTCTTTTCTTGAGGTTAAAACTAATGTCACATTAGCTGTTTACCTCTAGCCTGCCCACATTTATGGAAGTGGATTACTCAGGTGGATATCTTTGGAATAGACCACATGCCTAGCATCCTCCACAGTGAGGCCAGATGGCTTCTTAGAGTCTGAATGAGGGGGGAGCCTCTCAGAAGACTCAACTCTCCCACTTACCTGTTCTTGCTAAAAGGCCTGCCAGTTCCTTTTGTCTTTCCTGCTGTTGGTGCTGAATGAGCTCTATGAGTCAGGTGTCTCATTTAGATAGCCTTTAGCCTATTGCGCACAGGTCACTAGGGCAGCTCCTGGGTATAGAGTAAGAACTAGCTTGTCCTTTCCTTCACTATACACAGTTATTTTGAACCTTGGATTTGAACAAAGGTCTAACTTTAAGATCAGAGGAACTGGAAAGATGGCTCAGTAGTTATAAGCAGTTACTGTTTGTTTGTTTGAGACAGAGTTTCTCTGTGTAGCCCTGGCTGTTCTGGAACTCACTGTAGACCTAGCTAGCCTTGAGTTTAAAGATCCACATGCCTCTGCTTCCCAAGTGCTGGGACTGAAGGTGTGTGCCCTACTGCCTGGTTGTACCTGTTGCTCTGCAGAAGACCTGGGTGTGGTTCCCAGCATCCACATGGTGGCGGCTCACAACCATCTGTAGCTCCAGTTCTAGGAGATTTGATGCTCTCTTCTGAACCCTGAGGGCACCCAGGAATACATATAGTACACATACATACATATGTACAAAACACATACACATAAATCTGCCGGTGGTGGCACATACCTTTAATCCCAGCACTTGGGAGGCAGAGGCAGGTGGATCTCTGTTATAGTGGTCTGTAGTGGTCTATAGTGTGAGTTCCAGGACAACTAGCGCTACACAGAGAAACCCTGTTTCGAAAAACCAGAAAGAACTCTTTAAAACATACACATTCTAAAAAGAGCAGAGTGGAGATGGCGTGTTTACAAGCTGATAGAGCTGTAGGAAAAGGCAGAAAATACAAAGGTTGTCAGATACTAGAAGTCATTGTTTTTCAGTCCTTAATCTCATTTGGCTTGTTTTCTTCAGGACACACAGGAGAAAGAAGGTGTTCTCCCCGAGAGAGCTGAGGAGGCCAAGCTAAAGGCCAAATACCCAAGCCTAGGACAAAAGCCTGGGGGCTCCGACTTCCTCATGAAGAGACTCCAGAAAGGGGTATGGGGCGGCCTTGACCGCGATCCTTGCATGAAGTCTGTAGAGGTTCTGCTGCATGTTTTTCTGTGGTTGGTTATTGGGCAGTGTAGATAGGAGTTAGAAAGAGGAAAGCGGGTTATTGTGAATCCCTACAGTGATGTCAGTTCCCTTCTGGTCATAGGAAATGAAGGCTTAATGCTGGGCATTTGGGTGGGTGGTGGGTGGGCACTGCAGGAAGGGTGGCAGGGACTGGAAGGGCATCGTGTGCTCTGCTCATGCATCTGCCTAGGGGAGTGGTGGTGGAATAAGGGCTGTGCCCCTTTTAAGTCTTCAGGCAGATTTTACAACGATTCATTTCAGGAGATCCAAAAACCTTCACCTCGAGCAGTAGGTTTCTTTAGACTATTGACACCAGCACCAGACATTAACTGTACTCCCTCGAGAAACTTAGTTTAGCTGGAAGATTACCACAAATTCAAGAGCAGCTGAGTCTACATAGTAAGTTTTAGGACAACCTAGACTAAAATGAGACCCTGCCTTTAAAAAGAAAAGAAAAGAGAAAAAGAGGCTGGGCCAGCAGCTGGAGAGCAAGGGGGCTGCTGCTCTTCCAAAGGGCCAGAGCTGTTTCCAGCACCCACACCAGGCAGCAGACCATTGCCTATGACTTCAGCTCCAGGAGAATCTGACCCCTCTCTCGCTTCTGTGGACACACATGCATACATAAATGATTTAAAAAAAAAAAGCACACGCTTGGGCTGCAGAGATGGCTGAGTGGTTAAGAGCACTGGCTGTTCTTTCAGAGGACCTGGGTTTAATTCCCAGCAACCACAGTGTGACCCAAAACCATCTGTAGTGGGATCTGATACCCTCTTGTGGCATAAAGTTGTATATGCAGATAGACACTCATATACATAAAATAAATAAAACTTTAAAAAAAAAAAAAGTACATGCCTTTAATCCCAGCACTGGGGGAGCAGAGGTCGAGAGATCTCTGTGAGACTGAGGCCAGCCTGGCCTACAGAGTAAGTTGTAGGACATTGAAGCAACATAGTGAGACCCTGTCTTCAAGGAAAAAAAAAAAAGTAAATAAAATTATAAACAAAACAGACAGTTCTTTTTCACGTTCAGAATGATAAGAGATGTAGCCCCACAGGAAAGTGCTTGTGCAGCTTGGGTTCAACCTATAAGACCTCAAAAGTTTAAAAAAGAAACAACCAGAATGGCCTTCCCGTCTCCCTCTCAGTCGGGTGTCTGCAGACACAAGGATTAAGCTGGAGTGGGTGGATGGGGTCGGGAGGGAAGTGGCTTCCTACAGAGACTCCAGGGCCTCAGTCTTAGTCACAGCTGATGGCGTGGTGCTGATTTGCAGTTTAGCTCGCCTCAGGCAAGCCGGCGTGGGCAGGCTGTCTCACCAGGGAACACGTGTAGGAGTGGTGGGAGTCCGGAAGGCACACTGCCTCCTGACAAGCCAGTTCCTATTCCTGGTCCGAGAGTCATTTCTAACGCAGAGAGCTGGCTTCAGTGGTCTCTGGTGCTGGGAGCCCCAGATCAACCCTTCTTTGAATCTTACTCATTTGTTTTCAACCCCAAGGTATTGCTTTGTCACCTAGTAAGGTCCTCATTAAGCTGTTATGAATGGGCCCAGCTGTGGTGGCGCACGCCTTAATCCCAGCAGTAGGGAGGCGGATAGGCAGATCTCTGAGTTCGAGACCAGCCTGGTCTACAAGAGCTAGTTCCAGGACAGGCTCCAAAGTTACAGAGAAACCCTGTCTTGAAAAACCAAAAAAAAAAAAAAAAAAAGCTGTTATAAATGAAGCAAGTGGTTCTGATTGAACCATCCTATGCCAGGTAAGGTCCAAATTGTGTATGAGCCGTCACCCAGGTTCAGAGACAGAACCGTCCCTTAAACTGCAAAGGTGCAAGTTTCTTCTAGGACGAGGTCAAGACATGCTAGGAGATGTCAGAGCATGTGAGCGGTATGGACTGCACATGAGGAGCGTAGACAGCTGGGGTGCATGAGAGCCTGTGCTGATGCTGGAGTCGAGTCTGCCTTTGAAGAGCCCCAGAGCTTACATTTATCTGGACCTCCCTCCTGTCTCTTAGCAAAAGTACTTTGACTCAGGAGACTACAACATGGCCAAAGCGAAGATGAAGAACAAACAGCTGCCGAGCGCAGGGCCAGACAAGAACCTGGTGACCGGTGACCACATCCCCACCCCACAGGACCTGCCCCAGAGAAAGTCCTCGCTCGTCACCAGCAAGCTTGCGGGGTAACCTGGGCCCCTCTCTTCCCCTTCCTCACCCACTGGACTTCTATATATTATAGGCAGGGAATGGGCACCTAGTCAGAGCTCAGCTTGCCATCCAGGGAAGACATTCTGCTGGAGGCTTAGGTTGAAGAGGGATTCTGAGTTCATTTCTTTGGGTAAATTGAAACTTCTACACCCTTACTATAGCCCAGTAGAGACCCAGAAGTAGGAAAGACTAGGACCGGATAGCACTGCAGCTGTTCCTGTGCTGAGAAGCGTGGAAGATGGGAGTTCTCCTTTTGGAGAGGCTGAGTCTGGGAGCAGTGTGGCAGGTTCAGTGTCCCAAGGCTGCACTGACATGTTGGGAAAGGAGACGCTCTCTGTGCTTCTAAGTGTGTCGTCCCTTAGGCCTCTGTGCTTTGTGTTCCCATTGTGGGTGTTTAGGGAACCTTCAAAGAGGAGAAGGGATTTGCTTGCCTAAAACCACAGTGCCCACCTAACCTCTCTGTTGTGTCCCTCCAACAATTGCCCTGCTTCTCACGGAGTGGAAAGCTTGATCTTTTCTCTTTGAGCATGTAGCTTTGGAGCGTATGCTGGGAGAGTGGGAAGAGTGTAGGGTCGGAACACCCGGCTCCAGTGCTGCTCGTGCCCAGCAGCACTGGCGTATGAGCTTGGCTGGGTCATGTGGCCTCTGAGTCTGTTCCTCATCTCTGCAGAGCAGGAACCGTGTAGGCTAATTCTGACTGAAATCCTACACCTGCCCTAACTGCCGTCCATCCTAAAACCAACCGAGGCAGGCCCTTGCTAAGCCTCAGTTCTGTAAAGCTAGAAGTCCAGGGGAACAGGAGGGGTGCTATATGGGAAGAGAGAAAGTTTGAGATTTAAGGGCCACACCTTCAGACAAAGCCTTCTTGAGGGAGGAGGGGAGAGAGAGTAAGTCTGAAGAAGCCAGCCCTGGAAGTGTTTTGACTCTCCCATTTTCCTGGTCTACAGTTGACCCTAGCTGCTGCAAACCGCTCTGGCAGCAGACTGGATGGGCCTGAGGAAACACTCGTGCTTCAGGTGGAATCCGATGCTAGCTGTATGTTAGGCATGGAGGAAGAAGGGATGAACGGAGCTGGCCCCGAGGAGTTAGTGCTCCTGCCAGCTGGAGCATCTGGGCCTTAGCAGATGATTCACTGGTGGAGGCGGAGAATGGGGAGGGCGACAGCAGCCTGCCTTGCTGTGTCATCACTAGTTTGGCCTGGATCTTACTGAGTGCCACCTGCTCGCTAACAGCAGAGAGGACCTGAGTGAGAACTGCTCAAAAGAGCAGGAGGATGCAGTCTGTCTCCTTCACAGATTCCGGTGTGCCCGTAGAAGGTCTGACGAGTTTGTCGCTGTGTGTGTCGGGAAAGGGTCTAAACATGCTCTCCTGTTTGACTGCTCGGGTCTCTGACTGTCGTTCAGATTGGGTAGGAGTAGGTTGGTGAGGAAGGAGTGGAGAGAGCAGGACCCCTGGTCTCCCTGGCCCCCAAACTCCTTGACTCTCATTGTAATTGTATATAATTTTTGTGTTTTTTGCTCCATTTTCTCATGCTGTCATCCTTAATCTAAAGTCCATGTGGGAAGGGGACAATGCTGAGCATCACTGTATAGTTTCTTCAATGTCCCAGCCATGTTGTACATAGATATGTCATGTTATTATATATATAAATATATATATAATTTTGTACGTTTTCTTCATCTCCGATCTTCTCGAATTTTGTACCTTTTCCTCTTGTCTGAGCTGCCTTCTCTATTGGTCAGTTTTGTGTCTTCAAGGCTGCTGTTCATGGCAAGTCTGTTTTTAAGGAAGGGACAGGAGGAATAGGGAAATCACGCTAGCTTGTAAACCCAGCTCTTCAGAAAGCTGAGGCATGATTTGCTACTTCAAAGCTAGCCTGGGCTACAGAGTGAGTTCAAAGCTGGCCTTGAGTTAAAGATAACCCTGTCTCAAAATAAAAAGAAAAGAGAGGGCTAGAGAATATGGTTTAGATGTACGGTGCTCTCCTGTCGTGCAGGAGACCCTGGTTTCAGCCTCCAGTGATACGTACAGCAGCTAGTGGGTACACGCATGCACACACACACACTCCTGAACAGAGGTGGGGACAGAGATGGGGAAAAGACATTAAAATCAAAAGCAAACTATCAGTCTCTCTCTTCAGTGCTAAGGAAGCAAATAAGCTTCTCTTCTCAGGCTTGTTTCTTAGCAAGGAAGGGTCACTGCATTCGATTAAACCCAGGCTGTTTGGTCCCCTCCAAGCAAGTGTGTTCTGACCCTTGTATCGTCAGTCACCACCTCACCGCTGTGCTTCCTGCTCCCCTGCTGCCAGTGGCTGTGCCTGCAGGACTCCTGAGGCAGACATCTGTGTCTCCCCTTATGTCTCAAGAATTGTTTTTCTGTTTTCCATGAGTATATCAAAAAGGCAGAAACATCCTGTTTGTAAATAGGAAAAGACTTAATTTTTTTCAACTTCCTTATGATTAATATGCAGGCACATGTCAGGGAGAAGTCATGGGGTTGAGACTGGGATGGAATTCAAGAGGTTTTCCCCTTTTACTTGACAGTGTTTTTTTTGTTTGTTTTTTGTTTCTTTTTCTGTTCATCCACAGTGGCCAAGTTGAATGATGCTGCCTGGGGCTCCACCAGATCGTGAGACGCTGCCCACTTGGGGTCCTGTGCTGGCTCCTGCCCCTTCCTGCTTTTGCAGCCAGGGGTCAGGAGGTGGCCCAGGTGCAGGCTAGAGAGGCAGAGATCCCTGCCCACTGGTGTCCAGCGCATGGAGCCCCTTGGGCTGAGCACCAAGACCTTGGACTTTTTTTTGTTTTACATTTTTTTCCAAATAACAGTTGGGAAAAATTTCGTTGAAATCCCAAGGGTGGGGTTAAGGGGGTGGAGTGGAAGCTGTGGGGGGAAATGAGCTAGGGTTTGTAGCTGATGAAAAAGACAATTTCCTACCGTTCTTCTTAAGCACAGGTTTGGGATGGTTCTAAGTGAAGGGGTTGTCAGCAGACTAATGGTAAGGGCTTCTCGAGGTCAGCTCTGAAGAGAGATGCATTGTTTAATGTGGCTAGTGACCTGGAGTCAGAGAAAAGGAATTGTGTACTGTAATTTCTCTGGTTCTGAAGAGCAACCGAGGAGTCAGTGTTACTTGTTCCTTTAAAAAAAGTGTTGTCCTTGAGGCAGGTTTGCTATGGGAGAAGGGCAGTGAGTGGGGAGCCCCACAGAGCCCTGGGGAATTTTTTCAGTATTTGAAATAAAACGAGAACAACAAAAAACACCCATGGAAAAAACCAAACCCAGAAATACTCTGAAGCAGTTGGTGTGTTTTATTGGGGTTTGGGAGGGTGAAAATGTGATTGAGGGGGAGATCGGTGTGGTCCCTGAGTTTGCAAGAAGCACAGGGCTCTCGGGGTAGACAGTCTGACCTCCTGACTCACTAGGGAGAGAGCAGAATTGGTGTGCACAGGTAAGGCTAGCCACCACCCTATAAAGCGAGGGCTTCAGAGTTCTAATGAAATGGGGTACCAACACCCAAAGCTTAGTCCAGACTCAGCAAAAACGGGGCCCTGTTCTTCCTGTTCCCTTCAGTTTCTATTCCTGAGTTCCATGTCTGTGTGGGAGAAATGTGAGTTCTTGGTAATAAGCAAAAGAAGCTTGCCTTTCTGTTTCTGGCCGGCAGAAAGCGAGTGACTTATCCCCACATGATATCCTACCCTGCCTTCTTGAAATCACGCCACTGAAAGCCTTTTGAGAGAAGTGTAAGAGACAGCTGAGTGAATCACCAGTGTTCTGGGGTGGGGGTGGACTGCACTAGAGAAGAAACCTTGCTCTCAGTATCTATGACATTGTTTTTCTTAGTCAAGCTTGCCAGGTGAACATGTAGCTGTTGGAGATGTTCTGGCTCGCTCTCTCCTGGTTTGGCCAGTACTCTGGCTTAATACATCCTACAAGTGTGTCCTGCTCAACAGTGAGCCAGCTGAATGAAAGAGCACTAAAAAGTGTGCTGAGCTGGAATACCGCCACAATCCTAACATCCCAGCCTTTGGGAGATGGAGGCAGGGTCTTCATCAGCTGCATAAACATAAAACAACACCTGGGCATGGTAGTGCTTACTTGTACAAGTAAGAGGCAAAGGACCACAAGTTCAAGGCCAGCCTGCTCTTTATAGTGAGTTACAGGTCAGTGTTATGTGGTAGGACTTTGTCTCAAAACAAAATAATTGGTTGAGGGGTTTTGCAACCAAACCTGAGTTTGATTTCTGAAAGGCACAGCAGGGAAGAGAACTTATTCTCAGCACCCAGTAGAGGGCACTGTCACATACACGATGACATGTGTACACACAACAAAAACACATACAAAAAAAAATGTGTTATATAGCGGAAAGAATAACGTGAAAAGTTGGGTGCTTTGACCGGAATCAACCAAAAGCTTTGTATTCCTAACGTGAGCTGTGGCACTGCCGCACAGAGTCTGAGATGCCTTGGTTCCATGCCGTTTCCCAAACACGTTAGGTTTCTGTCCACCAGTGCATATATCTGGGGTGGGAAAGCTGTGTCAGAGTGTCCAGGCAGTCGAGTTCATTTCCATACAGGAGGAAGTTGAGGTATGGAAATAAGCTGCTTGGAAAGCAGCAGGCCAAGGAAGAGCTTTCGTTAGTGCCTAACCTGTGATAGTGTAACCTCCCTGCTGGTCGGGAGGCCCTGGACCTTAGTTTTAAGATGTAGCCTTAAAAATCCCTGGGTACCAAGCAATGTTTTGGGATTCTTACATATGAGTTTTAAATTCTGCTTTTCGGAGCCAGGCTATAGCGGTGCACACCTAATCCCAGCACTCCAGAGACAGAGATAGGTGGATCTCTTACGAGTTCAAGGCTGTTTGTCAGGCACACAAGCCTGACAACCTGGTCAATGCCTAGACCCCACAGAAAGGTGGGGGCAGAGCACTGACTCCTCAAAGTACAGACAATACAGTTGTTTTAAAATAGGGCTGGAGTTTGGAATGGTGGCGCATGCCTTTAATCTCAGCACGTGGGGAGCAGAGGCAGATGGTTCTCTTATGAGTTTGAGGCCAGCCAAGGGCTACATAATGAGACCTGTCTATGAATGAATGAATACAGGACTCTAAAGTAGTTGGGAGGCAGAGGCAGGTAGACCTCTGACCTCTGAGTTCAAGGTTAACCTGGTCCACATAGTTCCAATACAACCAAACAGCCAGTGAGACTCAGTCACAAATAATTTAACTATTACCATTTGTTCTTTATACAAAGACCCAAGCAACCAAGGTAAACAAATTCTGTAACCAACATTCTTCTCAAATACTTTTCTTGTGTAACCCAGACTGGCCCAGAACTTGACGCCTGCCTCCTCCTCCTGTGTGCTGAGGTTGGAGGCACACTGCCACAGCTACATGTGGCTGTACTGACTATTTCAGCCCGTGTCTCTGAAGTCTTCCTCTCAGAAGAACTGGGTGACGGTTCTTGCACTGCTCTGGCAACAGCTGGGTGATTGTGACAACAGACCTGTCACCTGAGCCTTTGTGTGTACAGAGTGGCAGGAATCAAGTCACTGGTCCACCAGGACTGAACTTTGACTATTGTACCTACACACAGAAGACAGTGATAGGCCAGAAACGGTGGCACACAGCTGTAACCCTAGTACTCAAGAGACTGAGGCAAGAGGATTGCCACAAATTCAAGGCTAGCTTGGGCTACGTAGTGAGACTGTCTCCAAACAAAAAAAAAAAAAAAAATATTGGTGTATGCATAATTTCAGCACTGAGGAGGTAGAGGTAGAAAAAGTTCAAGGAGGTCACATGCCCGTAACCCAGTTCTCAAAGGCAGAGGTAAGAGGTGGGCTACAATAGCTAGTTCCAGGCCAGGCAGGATGACATAGCAAGGTGTGCCTGCTCAAGCAGCTCCTACAGCTGCCTGGGAATAAACCAGAAAGGGAAGGGAAGGTCTCTGAATGCCCAGAATATGCCAGGCACTATGCTAAAATACAAGGTTGATGATCCATGCCACCGCTATGACACTGGTGAGGAAACTGCAGGGAATACATGACGTGGTCAGTGGTGGTCCATCTGCACAGGGAATAGAAAACAAACCAGCATTTCCCCTCGCAGGCTTTCTTGGACCACCAGTCCCCAAATCATGACACAGAGACTTAGTTATGAATGCTTGGCCTTAGCTTACTTAGGCTTGTTTCTAGTGGGGTTTTTTTAGCATAAATTAACCCATTTCTGTTCATCTGTGTGCTGCCCTGAGGCTTGTTTGCCTCCTCTATATACTGTTCATCCTGCCTCCTGCCTCCTCCGTGTCTGGCTGGCTGGTCCCCAGCTGACTGTCCCTCCCCTTTTCTCTCTGCCCTCCAGCCTTGCCTATTCCTTCTCTGCCTAGCTATTGGCTGTCCAACTTCTTATCAGACCAGTCAGGTGCCTTAGGCAGGCAAGGTGAAATAGCAACACAAACATCTTCACATGGTTAAAAAAACAGTCTGTTCCACAATAATATTCCAGATAGTTTGAGCAATGTTTTCCAGCACCATGCTAAGTAGATAATTAGGATCGATTCATTTAATCCTTAGTTCTATAATGTAAATTTTGTTTTGCCTTGGTTTGGAGTGTCTCATGTGCCAGTCTCTTAATTCCAGTTCCAGGGGAGCATATACAATTTTCTAAATTCATAGGATCAGGCACACATCCAGTGCACATACATATGTACAGGCAAAGCACTATACACAAAATAAGGAGTAGGGATACCTGCATGGTGGTGCACACTTGTAATCCTAGCGCTTGGGAGGCTGAGGCAGGAGGAGTAAAAGTGCAGGCAGGCTACAGTGTAATAAGACTATCTCAGAACAAGCCATGTGTGGTAGCAAATGCCTGTATTCTAGCACACAGGTCACAGAGGCAGGAGGATCACAAGTTTGAGGTCAGCCTGGTCAACATAGCAAGTTCAAAGACAGCTGGGTCTACTTATGTATCAAAGTGAGGGGGGAGCACTAGAGAGGTGGCTCAGAGGTTGAGCACTGACTGCTCTTCCAGAGGTTCTGGAAACTATGTCATGGCTCACAGCCATCTATAATAAGATCTGGTGCCCTCTTCGGGTGTGCATGAAGACAGAACTGTATGTACTAAATCTTTAAGGCCTGGCGGTGATGGTGCACACCTTTAAGCCCAGCACTCCAGAGGCAGGGGGAGGTGGATCTCTGTGAGTTCAAAGCCAGCCAGGTCTACAAGCGAATTCTAGGACAGGCTCCAAAGCTACAGAGAAACTCTGTCTCAAAAATCAAATAAATTTTTAAAAAGTGAAAAGGGTAAACTCAGCGCGTGTGAGCTCCAGGCATATGGGTATGAGTGTAGAAAGAGAGTGTGTTGGGTTAGCAATGGGAGCAGAGACTTCATGAGAAAGTTCCGGCAGCTTCAGCAGACCGAGAGGATGAAGACATTTGGTAGAGGTAGGTACAGCATGCAAGGGAGAAACAGCCTGGACAGTCATGTGACTGCAGACTGTCCTGGGGCCACACAGGGTGTCAAAGGAGTCAGCTCCCAGAGGATAGTGTGTCAGAGCCACCAAGGGGATTCCAGGCAGAGATCTGCTCCGATCTGTTTTAGATGGGTCCGTGCCAAGCTGTGTGGAACAGGAATGTATTTTTTGTTCATTTGGCTGAGGTGCCCTCGTGTGTGTGCATGCACTGGGTGTGTGTGTGTGTGCGTGTGGAGGGCAGAGGTCAACTTCAGCTTATCAACTAGCTAGGTTTTTTATTACATTTTATGTATTTAGTGGTGGTGGGGGAGGAAGGAAGTGCACAGTGCGCTAGCAGAGGTCAGAGGTCAGTGTGTGGGAGTTGGCACCCTTTCTGCTCAGCTGGCCTTGAACTTTCTAGAACCTGTGCCTCCCAAGTGCTGGAATCAACAGGCATGTGCCATCGTGCCCGGCTAAAGAACAGGGTTAATGGCAGTGTGGCTGCTTGGTTTTAAATCTTAGTTTTGGTATTTTGATTTGGGGGCGATGGTGAATATATGTGTAGGTGTGCATGTACGTGGGGGGCGGGCATCAGCTTCTGGTGTCATCCTGTCACTCAGGCACAGATCACCACACCCACCATCCTCATGCTTGAGCAGCAAACACTTTATGCACCATGTGCCTATGGGCGTTTTACCTGCATATGTGTGTATGCACCACCCTTAAGCCTGGTGCCCAGGGAGGTCAGAACCTCTTCTGGAGTCCCTGAAAATGGAGTGATGCCAGTTATGAGCCACCAAGTGGGTGCTGGAATTCAAGCCTGGTTTTTTGGTTTCGTTTTATAGTTTATTTGTGT